TCTGTCTGTCTGTCTGTCTGTCTGTCTGTCTGTATATCTATCTATATGTCTCTCTGTCTGTCTGTCTGTCTGTGTCTGTCTGTCTATATCTGTCTGTCTGTCTGTCTGTCTGTCTGTCTGTGTCTGTCTCTGTCTGTCTGTATCTGTCTGTGTCTGTCTGTATCTATCTGTCTGTCTGTCTGTCTGTCTATCTATCTATCTATCTATCTATCTATCTATCTGTCTGTCTGTCTGTCTGTCTGTCTGTATCTGTCTGTCTGTCTGTCTCTGTATAGCTATAGATAGATTTAGACTGTTGTCACACTGCAGGGCAATCTAAGCAGACTGCAAATAATATAATATATAACAATCTGATTATGTTTGTGTATATTAATATTTAAATGTATACATGCCAGCATTCAAAAGTTTGTAGTAAGATTTTGTGTCTGTCTGTCTGTCTGTCTGTCTGTATCTGTCTGTCTGTCTGTCTCTGTATAGCTATGCATAGATTTAGACTGTTGTCACACTGCAGGGCAATCTAAGCAGACTGCAAATAATATAATATATAACAATCTGATTATGTTTGTGTATATTAATATTTAAATGTATACATGCCAGCATTCAAAAGTTTGTAGTTGGTAAGATTTTGTTAATGTTTTTGAAAGAGTCTCTTATGCTCACCAAAGCTGAATTTATTTGGTTAAAAAAATCTGTGAAATCAGTTAAATTGTGAAATATTATTACAATTTAAAATAACTGTTTTCTCTGCGGATGTATTGTAATATGTGATTTATTCCAGTGATCAAAGCTGAATTTTCAGCATCATTACTCCAGTCTTCAGTGTCACATGATCTTCAGAAATCATTCTAATATGCTGATTTGCTGCTCAAGAAACATTTCTGATTATTATCAATGTTGAAAACAGTTGCTCCGCTTCATATTTTTTTGAAAACCGTGATACATTTTTCTTTTCAGGATTCTTTGCTGAATAGAATGTTCAAAAGAACAGCATTTATTTGAAATATAAATCTTTTGTAACATTCTAAATGCCTTTACTGTCACTTTTGATCAATTTAATGCAGCCTTCCTAAATAAAAGTATGAAGACCCCAAATCTTTTGGCTTCAAAAGAGCAACAGTTATCTATGATATCAACTCTTTAATTTTTAATGTGACTGTTCTTGCAGATATCGATGAGTGTGCCAGTGAATATAATGGAGGATGCGTTCACGAGTGCATCAACATCCCCGGAAACTACAGATGCACGTGCTACGACGGCTTTCGCTTGGCCCACGATGGACACAACTGCCTGGGTAAGCCATCGCTGCTTTACGTTTGGGACAAACAAATGAAGCGTGTGTGATGATCTGCATCCTCTCAGGACTTCGTCCCACTCTAGACAAACAAACATTATTGCTGGAACCCAACTTCTAACGGTTGATACTCAGGCGTGTCTAATCAAACTCCAAACCGACCGCGACTGAGGCCCAGAATGTGTCACTCTATCCTCCGTGTCAAAACCACGCGGTTTGTGCGGTTAGCCGATAGAAGAGGGCGATAAATCCGTCAGATTTGGGCTGTGACTGCTGAGCACACGGTTCTGTGGTATTAATTGTATTTTCAGACCGCGTGAGCTCACATTTTTGACATTCGGTGGCTCGTATGCCCAGCCGTTGCAGGTCAGTTGTATCAATCTGAGGGGAATGTGTGTGTTTGTGTGGGAGATTTACATCAGGTTACAGTCTTATACTGACCTCGGCGCTTTAACTCAAAACAGATGTCCGGCACGTCGAACTGAAGTCCAATGAAGATGTGAAATAGCTGCTTTGCTGTGATCAGAGTGTTTGTGTGGGTTATGTGGGTTTTACTCGTGCAGAACACTGCTATTTCAGACCTTCATAGACATTTAAAGGTCCTTTCTGCCAGTTTTTGAAACACATTTTCGAATATTGAGGTTTTCTCTGGCAGAGCTCGAAGCAATCTGATTGTTATCCGAATGACAGTTGAATTCGAGAACCGACTCCCATTTTGCTCTTTTTTTATTATCAAAACGCAAAATTAATGATGCAATTATTTATGTTGTCACACAATGTGAACATTTAAAATGGTGTAATATAGTTTAGAATTTTTTTTTATTTTTTATTTTTTTGGGGAATACATTGGTATGATATGTTTTATACTGTTTGGACAACTTTCTCCAAACTTTATCAATAAACAATGTCACCACGTTTTCAGATTTCACGGGTTTTTTTTTTTTTTAGTTTATAAAAATAAATATTAATATTAAATTCATATTTGAGACAAATATTAAATATACTAAAGGAAAATTTGGGATAATTTAGATCATTAAGGCTCATTAAAATTACTATTCAATGAATTTTACATTTAATTACATATATAAATTAACTTCAAATGAGCTAAAAGTAAGAAAAAGTGACCTTTAAATATTTTTTTAAATATTATTTAAAATTATAAATAAAATAATGGAATGTGAGGTATTGTATTAAAATACTATATAATATTATTAAATAGTTATTATTATTATTATTATTATCACTATTATTAAATAGTGATAACATAATATACAGAATATATACAGTGGGTACGGAAAGTATTCAGACCCCCTTAAATTTTTCACTCTTTGTTATATTGCAGCCATTTGCTAAAATCATTTAAGTTAATTTTTTTTCCTCATTAATGTACACACAGCACCCCATATTGACAGAAAAACACAGAATTGTTGACATCTTTGCAGATTTATTAAAAAAGAAAAACTGAAAAATGCTCAGTATTTAGTAGAAGCACCCTCTTGATCTAATACAGCCATGAGTCTTATTGGGAAAGATGCAACAAGTTTTTCACACATGGATTTGGGGATCCTCTGCCATTCCTCCTTGCAAATCCTCTCCAGTTCTGTCAGGTTGGACGGTAAACGTTGGTGGACAGCCGATAGATAGATAGATAGATAGATAGATAGATAGATAGATATGTGCTAAAATAAAATTCTCAAAAGTATCTTAAATAGAAAGCCATAAAAAAAGTACTGCTGGAAGATTGAGAAGTAACCTCATAATCTACTGATCGTCTTGAACATTCAGCGAGTCACAGAGGAAGGAAAGAGTGAGAAAAGGGAAGGAATAGAGGACGAGGAATAAGAGAAGGAAAGAGAGAGAGAGAGAGGTAATTCTTCAGCACAGGAATCCTCTCAGGAGGTTTTTAAAGAAATGTTTTAAGTGCAAATAGCATGAGCTCTGCTCCGGGTTTCACCAGAATCCTGTTCCTTTTCCAAATATTTGCTTTGGACACGAGCCGCGATCTGCACAGAACACATGTCGCTAACGCCGTCCGCTGACCGGCACAGCTTCACCAAACTCAGCGGCGGCAGGAAATCAGGGGTTTGTTTATGCTGCGGAAGCAAGGTGTTTGGGGTTTGAGGCGCGAGGCTCTCGCACATGCACAGATACTAAAGCAAGCTCTGTGCAAACAGACGGCTGTTACCATAAATGCTTTCCAAACGCTTAGAGCCCACAGATACGTTAGTAGCAAATGTGGATGCTTTTGATGCTCAGTTTCACTCAGTGTGTTCTGAAATGTGTCAATACACAATTTATAATGCAATGCAAGTGCGCATTTCATTCTCAGCATTGGTAAATTGTTGTAAAATTGTCGTCTGTTTTACTTTCATGTCAACTACTGATATTATAGAACATATTTGTTGCCTTAAAAAATAAGATAATAACTGATCAGATTTCCTGACACATTCATTTGATGGAAATCCACCCCATGATTTTACTGCTACAATAATAAAAATGCACATTATGACAATGCATTTTTCTTTTTGTACTAGCATGGAATACATTTCAGGCCTTTGTAACTCTGCTACATTCTGTAGCCACACCCACATGACATCTGATTGGTTCAGAATCCTACACCGCACATATTAAATACCCAGTATTTATTTATTTATTTATTTATTTTATAATATTTAATAATAAATATTTAGGACATTAAAAAAATGTAATCAAAATAAAATTACATGATATGTTGTTTAATTAATGTAATAATTTATTTGTTTACTATTTATAAAGATGATGATGATGATGATGAGTTTATTGCTTTGTATTTCAGTTAATGTATTTATTTGATACATTTCAATATAACAATTAAAATCATTTATTTGTTATTTTATTAATAACAAATAATTTAAAAGGAAATAATTAGGTCTGACAATTGAAAGGCTCGATCAAATTAATTACATGATACCCTGTTTAATTAATATATTAATCATTTGTTTATTTTGTATTTATGATGATTTATGTTATTAATTTTATATAAATTTATTATTATTAGTAGTAGTAGTAGTAGTCATTTGAATTTATTGCATCATTTAATGTATTTATTCACCAGATACACACACACACATATAGATATTGATATATCTCGTGAATAAATAAATACACTCAGTTTTTTTTTCTTTTTTTGCTCCTCCCAAATATTCAGTGTTTACGGTTTACTGATAAAATTTCATGTTATGACAATGCATTTTTTTTTGCATGCTTGCATGGAATATATTTCTGGCCTTTGTAATTTTTATATGTTTAGTAGCCACGCCCACAATAATATCTGATTGGTTAAAAATCCTGCATGTTTAGATTAACTTTGTCATTTCGTACGGTATTTTCATTTTCAGCAAAGACAGAATTTGATGCTGATAACTTCATGTCGCAATTGGTAAATGGTGGGAATGTGAGTCTGTCTTTGTGTGTGTGTGTGTGTGTGTGTGTGTGTGCGCGTTTTTGTGACAAATAAATTTGTATAATGACAAGGGTATGACATAGGTATTACAAGGAGAAGGTGACTTTTCAGGACATTACCCCATGTCCCCACTTTTCAAATCGCATATAAATCACACAGAATGGAGTGTATTGAAAATCTGAAATAGCACAAAGTTTCCTGTGAGGGGTAGGTTTAGGGGTAGGGTTGGTGTAGGGCAATAGAACATACGGTCTGTACAGTAGAAAAACCATTACGCCTATGGAGAGTCCCCACTTTTCACAAAAACAAACCTGTGTGTGTGTGTGTGTACGTTTTTCTATATTGGTGGCGACTTAAACCTGAATACACACCAACTCATGGGGACTTGTGTCACCGTGGGGACCTAA